GCTTTATGTCCTTGGTGCAGAATTTTTATAATGAATTTTGGGACTGATGGTGCCCAGCAATTCCAGTGTTCATTTGGCCCAGCTTTGTTTCTTGCTACATGAAAAAGGGAGGAGGAGCAATGCCCACGATCTGGCAAGAGTCCAGTGGTTTCCAGGGGAGGCTTTGCTTTGACATTGACAAGACAAGGTACCCAGGAACAGCAGGATGCCTCTGGAGCCAGGTTTTGATGTGGCACTGATTTCATTGCCAAGAAGAAATGCCAATGAAATCCATCAAAGGGCGGAGAGGAGGAAAGAGCCGGGCCCCGCCATTTGCTTCAGACCATAGTGCAATCCAAGGGCTCTCCTGATCTGCCCCCGACATGCCCCTGGAGTGCTTATGAGCTGTAGGAATGCAGCCTGAAAACCCACCCCCTGCGATCATGGTAACGGGTAACGTGCCGGACTTAAATCAGAGTCAGGTATTCAGCAACAAAGCTCACCATTTGGTCTCTGGTCACCACTCCCTTTCCGGCTAACAGATCCTGCAGGGCTGCCATGAGGAGGCACAGAGCCACACGGCAGCCCGAGTTTCTCAAAAGAAGGGCAGAAGACGAGGTCACAAACTATTCTAGTATCTTGTTTGCTGTCTCTCTTGGAACGTGGTCGCGTGCCTGTCCAGAGTTCTTATCCAGTATATCCCTCTGCAAAACTCTTGGATGAAATATGCTTCCGGAAGACAATCTTCTCTCAGAAATAAAGATGTGATTTATACATTTATACCTTTATCTCCTGTTTTAAAAATGTTTTTAGTGAGGTATGATATTAAATCATTCTTTTATAACCACATCCTTTAACCAAAGGGTTCGTCATGTTACACTTTAATTCAGCCGCAGTTTGTTTATAACATGTCCCCGAATGCCCATGGGAAGGAACGACATGTTGTTGCCATGTTTTTAAGCCAAGGCAGATACACTCCTTTGTATAAAGCACAAAGCACACTTCTGACACAAACACGCAGCTGCTTCTAGAACGGAATCATACTGGTAGATCCAGGTCCTTTCAACCATCGCGTTCCCCACCCCCACTCCTGTTGCTTCAGCGCAGCTGCTGACAGTCATGACAGCTACAAGCGCAGGAGTCTCTGTGTGGCATCTTTTGTTTCAGGTTCGCCCCCTCACCTCTTCCACTGGCAACCAGTAATCATAAATCAGAGGCAGCCTAGTGGAGAAATGCTGTTTGAAAACAGATTTGTTCAGTCCTGGCTGCAGCAAGGGAAAAGTGTGCGCATCTCTTCTGCACATGGAGAAGCTCACCTGTCTCTTAAAACAGCTGTTCTGGGTGGCTGGCACTGCTACCCCCATGGATACGGAGCCCTGTTTATTGTGGCCCTGTGATGCATCCAATCTTGGCAAGGATAATATATTTGAATCATTATGTGTGCGCACGTGCCTACACACACACAGTTGCAAAGTCACAATAAGCTTTGAATAATGCCTTAGCAGGATTGCAGAGAAACAAACAAGCTATCAAAATGCAAAATAGTGATTTTACCCAAATCAAGTTAAAACTAATAAATTATGGGACAAAGACAGGCCTTGAAATGACTGGCTGTAATGGACTCGTCCAGTATATTGCAATGAGATGTTGCTGCTGGCTTACTGCTCAAAAGCTGTGGAATGACGGGGAACATTCCAAATGTGCAGAAGTACAGCAGAGATATAAAAAAGTGAATAGGAGGAACCAGTGTTGGGGACTCAAGTCGTGTCTGACTCAAGTCGTGTTAGCAACTCGACTTGGATTGACTCAGGAGCAACGAGCGAGTGACTCAACGTGACTCAAGATTCCTACCGTTTTTGTGACCGAGTTGCTCCTGGGCTTACTGCCTGCATCTGATGTGCGGCAGGCTATCCAGGGGTGATCTTGGTGGAAGGCATCTGTGACCGGCTGGAGGAAGGCACGGACCCAGCAGAGGTGGTGAGAGGGAGGGTTTCAAGGGGGCATCGGCAGGATAGGGAAGAGGGGGTTGCAATGGGGGGGGGGGGGAGGGAGGCTTCAGCAGATGGAAGCATTGGGGGTCACAACTCTCCCAGCAGCCTCACCCCCCCGCACCCTTTCTGTTAAAGTGGGCTCTTGAGACTTGACTTGAAAATTTCTTCCCATGACTTGAGACTCAACTTGGACTTGAAAGTGAAGACTTGAGACTTGACTCAAGACTAGGAGGAGCACATCGCTGGAACTCGCCAGAAAAGGGGACATGCAGCAGCGCTGAACTCTTGGTCAGCTGTTGGACTAGGCATGCATGATGCGTATGTGAAAGTTAATATACTTTTTATTTCTGAGTTGCCTGTCAGTTATAAAATCAGCATTGTATGTGTGAACTAGGAATCATGGTTTAAAACAAACTCTACTCAATTGCTAAACCAGCTAATTATAAATTATATATTGGTATACATTAATGCAACATATATATGGGTATTTTCAATACATTTCTAGTAGAAAGTTTTCCTTTCTGCCACAACATTTCTTCTGTAAAGAAAGCTTGTGAAAACAACCTGTTTGGAAGGGAATTACATTATCTATTGTCATAACTCAATTTTCTGAGCCTCCTTCATGAATACTAAAAAAAGGAAAGATGAAAGGCTGATGAACAACAAAGTTAACCAAAAATATAAAAAATATAAAAAATTTCTAACACTTGTAATAAAAGCCAGTACAAGTCTGTTGTGTATGAGTATGTCAGAGTTATTACAAAAATTAAGAACAATTCATTATTTTTCCAGCTGTTTGGATCTATTTACTGAACATCATTACTATCAATACAAGCACAAATGGAATTCACAAGCAAAACAGCAAATGGTTTCTGATGGGAATGGCCATTCCACAGACAAATAGTGGTGCCATCTTTAAAAAAAAGGTGGCTTTAATATACTAAGTACAAAAACACTTAGGTGTCTAGGAATGCCACTTTTAGATGCTTTTTAGAGGTGGCAGTTTAGAAGGGGAGCAAGAGAGCAGATAATCATCCAGATTACTCTCTTTACACTCCCAATTTCCTATTGCTTGTGAAAACATGGATTGGGTACAGACAATTCAATAACCCACAATCAAGGGCTGAATATGGGTTGAGTGACAGCTGTGGATGAATTTGGGGTTGTTGTTCAAGCATGGGTTGTGTTGGCTGAACCCAGCCAAGATAACAAAGAATGGAGAACAACCCACAGTTCACAATCCAGCAGCAAACCACGGGTTCATGGATTCTTTGTGTTTAACAAGTCGCAGCTCTTCAGTGCAGCTTGCCTCAAATCACGCAATAACCCCCACTTCAACAGCAGCACCTGGTTCAGCAACAACCCATGCTCAGCTCATACTCAACCTCTGAAGTGGGTTGCTGTGTTGTTGTCTCGGTCTAGCCATCTGTCTTATTAAGAGTAGCTTTGCAGTTTTTATACTATTTTGTTGTTAAATTTTAACATTGCAAAGGATACAAAAAGGCTTACAAAATACATCAACAGCTTCATTAGTTTAGAGAAGGTGTTTTATGCAAGTTCATCTCAGACTTCACAAAACGTTTTGAAAGCTAGTGTTTTTAAAAATGCACCTTGAGAGTGAAGGCAGACATAGATTGCTTGACACTAGTGCTGTGTGTGTGAGTACAAATGAAGCCACAACGACTGTCAGGCTCAAGCATTTGAGGGTGGGAGGGGATCAGAGGAAGTGCTCTCCCCCATCCCTCCCCCTCTTAACCAATACATGGGTGTGGAGATGCCAGAAGGCAAACATGGGGAGAGGGGGGTCTAGTGTTCCCCTCTTGGCGCATAGTTATCCTGACTTGAATTGAGACTATGCACAGTGTCTCAGACTTCCCAGGACAGCATCCCCCTTGGATGGGCCATCACTGATTCATCACTTTTTTTCCAGTTTGTTTTTTAGGCATTACCCACATGCACAAATATTTCTGTAATTTTCTGGTTGCTAGTTTGGAACTGCACATTTATGGATGACCATTATGAAAAGTCTTGTCTGTTCAATCTTGCGGTAAGTACCTGCCATCCATATGTACTAGACATGGACCAGGGCCAAACTGGACTGCAAACAGCTTATTCTGTAATTCTGTTTTTCACCTAGCAGCAGCCAAAGGGTGAGCTACCAAGTGAAAAGCAAAGCTATGGGAAGATCTTTCCATGCAAAAGGGAGGCAATGAGTGCATCGGCCTCTTTGCAGTGAGAACCTCTGGTTTTTACAATGTGAACTTGACAGTTCTCAGAGTCCTCTACCTTTTCCACCCTTTGCTGAGATTGTAGGTGCTCAGGAAAGGGGAGCAGTACATTGCCCCATTTACAGGAGCACAGAAGCTCGACAACCTTGCAGAGAAATGGTTTCTTTTAAAGCAATGGTTTTCACTGGGTGGGCTGCCACGTCCTGCCTAATGCCCCCTCCCCACCACTCCCTATCACCACCTTAGTTTCTGATTTCCTCTCAGTAGTCTTTTCCTCATTTTTAATAACAACTTAGTGCTAATTTGCTATAAAATGAAAAGAAACAACTCATTCCAAGTAATTAAAATTTGGCAATTAAGAGAAGCTATTTAAAGGGCAATTTAGAGGCTTTTCATGACTAATCATTCACCTTTGTTTATCAGGAATTAAAAAAAAAATCTGGGCTGAACCTACAATGTGGAAATGTCTATTTAAATTTGCTGAATGAGACATAGTTGTATGTAAACACTATTAAATCGTCTTGCCGCTGGGAAAGGAACTGCTGGATAATATTAAGTTTGGTGTGGAATCTTCATTTTAATCTCCCTTCTAGCTAACTGAGGAAGAATAACACTCCAGCAGTGCTAAAGCAACCAGAACTACCCTCTTAGATCACATCTCCATACCAACTTGCATGTCTCCTCACTTGGGTAAATCCATAGGCAACCAACATCAGTTCTGAGCTGCAGTAGGCAGTGGCATTCTAAGTTATATGTTGAACCTCTCAGGTAAACAGCGAAGAAGGAAAACCTGAAATATTACCTGAATGGATAGGCAAAGGCTATGTCAATGCTGAGGTCGCTCTGTGTCTTGTTTGCACAGTCCACGCTTAGTCGCAGTCCGCCAGAATAGCCACCACATGTTGCAAATGCAAAGATTGCAAAAAGCTGTGAAAAGACAATTGCAAGATCAGCTTACCCTGCAGTGCAATTCCAGCATGTGTAAATATTTATGCAGCAGCAGCTGCAACAGAACCGTTCAGTCTTGTCCCATGGAGGAGGGCAGAGGCAGGCAGATGTCAGCAGATTTTTAATTTATTGACTTCTGGCCTAAAACAGGAGTTTGGCCAGATAACAGCAGCTGCCAGGAGAAGAATAATGCTGAAGCTAAGTTATAGCAAGAAAGCCATGCTACTGCTGTTGCTGCTGCTGATTGCCCATCCTATCCCACCCTGAGAAGAATGCTGGTCATTGGTCGTCTGGAACTCTCACAGAAATCCCATACAATTTTATCAAAAAGGAGGCTCTGTCACATTTCTGACTCTTTGCTCACATTGCCCTTAGTGCTTGGCTCATGGCTGCCTGTATGGTTTAGCCACATTAACCACAATCACTTCCTCACACAGGGCATAGTTGAACTATGGGATTTGCTACCGTGAGATGCCGGGATGCCCCCACATGGCTGCCTTGAAAGGGGTATAGGCAAATCCATGGCTGGCAGTGACCTATTATCTCCAGGCGGAGCGGCAGTGTGTGCCTGCACCCCTGCGGTGTGACCCAGAGGGGGGGTGCGCTGCACTCATTCCAGGCATGCAGGCTTCCCACAGGTGTCTGGTTGCCAACAGTGGGAACAGAATGATGAACCAGGCAAGCTTTTGGCTTGATTCAGTGCTGGACTCCTTAGGCGAACCCTGTTTAACACTCCCTTTTTAGCATAGGTGGACTGCTTGCTCCATTTGCCCTGGCTTAGTTCAGTATCATGAACCCTGTTTGGGAAATTCTGTCACAATCCATCAGATGCCATTGATTTTTATGTTCCTGATCACGAGCTGCACTTTAACAACATATCTAATCCTCTGAGCACAGCCACTTAAAACTGAATTGAGCATCTAGGAAGCATCAGTCTGGACTCTTACAATATAGAAAAGAAAGAAAAATGGCAGAGGGACATTTCAAAACTTCACTGAAACATACAGCCAGTTCACACAGACCACAACATGGCCAAGACAAGTCAGTGGGAAATCTTATCATTACATTATTTCTCCCTTCCATCTTGGCTTTCCCCATGTTGATCAACTTTATTTATTCTTTATGTAATAAAGCTCATATCTTGCTTTTCTAGTGTACAGTACATGCTACTGTATGATCCCAAAACAGGTAGCCTTCCGTAAGGCTGCTAAGTCTATACTTTACTTCTGTACTAAAGTCAACTTCCAGCACGTAGCAGGTATGCTTGGAAAGCTGAGTGTTTATTTCCATTTCTCTGCAATAGCAACCCACTGCTACTGTTCAACTAAGATGGGTTCAGGCAGGTTTCCTCGGCCAGTTACCCTGTAGATATTTTGGACCTCAAACCCATGGACTGAACCTATAAAGAAGTACTGGTGGAGGAAATGTGCTGTTTGAGTAACTTTGCTATTTTTTGCTTCTGATTTAATGGGCAAAGCAGAGGCTCCGTCATTTCACTGTGGGGGAAGATGAACGAATCACTATTTGGCATGGTATCAAAAAGCATAAAAGAGGAAAAAGCCATTTACTTGTACATCCTTGAATGCCCAAACCAGCTTTAGACATGGCAGATTTAAAGGAATTAAGCACAGGGAGCAGAAGAAATCCATTCTTCACTTGAAATTGTTCTCAGATGAATAAACTAGAGAGTCAACAACCTTGCTCTCCTTAGCCATCATATTTTTTTGCAGAAAAATGGAAGTACCTGCTGTGTGTGTGTGCGTGTGTGTGCACACTTTTAATGTTATGCCCAGAAGGCTTCACAGAATGTAAGGGGCCCTTTCACAATGAGCAACCTAGTGTGCTCTGGCAGAGGGCATATTCCCACAACCACCTAAGTACACTTTCTTATTCACACAGTATGTACCTCACTTCCAAAACATGATAGTACAGTCCAAAAGGGGACCCCCTCAGATCTGCCTGGAGACCTGTTCTTTCACCCCCCGCTCATGGTGCATGGGCAAGACCACCATTTGGGAACGGGAAATCTCCAGATTTCATGCAACTACCCAAGCAGAGGACAGTAGGAAGGGGCAGAAGCAGTTCTCCCGACTTTACTACCGGTTGACCTCCATATGGCTCCCTCTTCACACCCACAAGGGGGAAGGAGTGCTTGCTAAAATGATAGAATTTTAAATTTTGGCACAGGTGAGGCAAATTGTGAAGTCTTGTTCCCAGGTGACCAACAATAAGGTTAAAAAAATTGCCATTGACTGGGAAAATCTATTATTATTAACAAGTATTTGGAACACAGTGCAGTATCCGATTATGGTATCTTTCAAACAGGTAGAATTGAAAGAAAGAAAAACCCTCAAATAATTACAAAGCAAAGTTGGGCAACCTGTCGCCCTCCAAATGTGTAGCACTACAGGGCCCATCAGTCCTAACCAGCATTGCCAATGTTTAGACATTGAGGGAGCTGCCGTTCAAAACATCTGGAGGACACCAGGGTTATTCCTGGTTTACAAAATTAAGAACCTCTGGGCATCTTAAAGAAATTTGTTGCTTAAGGACGGAGCAAGGATACAGTCCAAGTGCGGAGGCTCATATGCACCCAGTGCATGGAATGAGGGGTGGCGCTCTGTATTTAATCCAGATGGCTCTTTGCAGCCATTTAGATGGAGTGCAAGGGGGCCGGGGGGCCACCTCCTGGCCCGGCCCTCTTTTGCCTGGGCAGGCTGCACTCTTGTACCCATCTTGCTGGCAGGGTGGCTACTTCTTCCTCACCAGCTGGGTGGAAGGGGAGGCGCTGGCTCATCCTTTCACCCCAGCTTCGGAGATCACGGGAACCCGGGGCTTTGAATCGTCTTGCCCCCTGCCACCTGCACAATGTCAGGAAAACACAGGATTGTGCCCCAAGGCATCTTTCCTTTGTAGCAATGATTCACACACCTAGCAGTAGAAAGCGGGTCAGTGTCACAGCGTATCCTTATGGACGGTGCAAATCTGCAATAACTTGCCCCTGTTGCCGTTCGGCAACAAAACAAACGTTTTGTTTTCCCCTTGCCTTTGTGCCGCTCTTAGTGCACGTACATCTGCAGCTCAGGGTGATGAGCTGTTGAATGTCAGTTTTACAATTCTCTATCTAAAACTAAATTCCAGGAGGCACTGCCAACTTTGGCTGCAAAGAAACAAAGGACAGAAAAGACAGAAAGAAAATGTAGACAGAAAAACTGAAAATAAGGCATTTAAAAAATACATAACAACAAGCTGCATTCACACAACACGTCAAAACCACACCTTTGAACCAGCTCAGAATACCCATCATCCATGAGTATTCCCACTTTTCTAGGAACGCAGGAAGATGTCATAGACTTGACAGCTCTATCTAGCTCAATATAGTCTGATCTGATTTATTTATTATTTACTTATTTAAAGCATTTCTATGCTGCCCCCATTGCAACAAAGCCTCGGGGCGGCTCACAAAGAATACATAAAAACATACATAAATAATAGTAATATAACAATTTAAAAGAAAAATTTTTTAAAAACCCCCGGTGCATTCTTGGCTAATTTTAAAATCCTAATAATTCAATAATTTGCAATTAAAATACATTTTAAATAAAAAGGTCTTTGCCGGGCGCTGAAAAACAAATAACAACGGCGCCAGGTGGACCTCCCTGGGGAGCGCATTGCACAGATGGGGCGCCACCGCAGAGAAAGCCCTCCTCCGGGTACTCACCCTCCTAATCTCATTCACAGAGGGTTCCCGGAGAAGGGCATCCATTGCTGATCCCAAGGGGCGGGAGGGCATATATGGGCGCAGGTGTTCCTTTAGATATCCAGGTCCCAAGCCATTTAGGGCTTTATAAGTCATAACCAACACCAACACCTGACTGGCAGCAGCTCTCCAAGGCTTCATACAGAGGTCTTTCCAATCACTTGTTCCTGGGCTGCATTACCTGGAGATGCTGGGAGTTGAACTGGGGATCATCTATTAATTCATCCAAAGCATGTGGTCTCTCATGGGGTGATGATCTCTCACATGCTTTAACATGAGCTGTGGACAGACAGGTTAAGTTTCCAGATATGGCTGACAGGTGAAAGCAGAAAGGAGAGGTACTTTAAGCGGAGAGAAGGCAGCTTGGAGTTTAATTCATTTTTCCCTTTTCCATTAACTTGGTCCTCCCTGAAAAGGAAGCAAGTGGGTGGATGGCAGATAGCCTGCTGAGGAAGATCAGGGAGATCTTAGCTGCTTTGTGTTTGGGGCTAGTTGTGGCACTGTCTGCTCTTGGTATCTCCTACTGTGGCACATTATAAACGTTGGGGAATGGGATTTCATTCATTCATTCATTCATTCATTCATTCATTCAATTTTTCTAGACTGTTCTATAGAAATGCTTTCAAAACAGTTTATGGTATAAATATAATCACAATAGCAAATCCATAGTGATTGTAACTGTTCAAAAATAGTAACAAAATTAATAAAAAATAAGATTACAATAATAACACAATAGACATTGATCCACAGCAACCAACTGATCCTAATATAAATAAAAAACAGTATAAAATCATAGCCATCTTGTTCAACATTTAAAATAATGGGAGAATAAAAAGGTTTTGACCTGGTGCCAAAAAATATACAGTGTTGGTGCCAGGTGCCCCTCCCTGGGAAGTTCATTCCATGGATGGGGGGCCACAGCTGGGAAGCCCTTGTCCAATTCTTGCCAAATCTGAGTGACTGTATCCTCAAAGTTTGGCACAAACTCGTCACAGCAGGCCACCGAGGGCTCTCCACAATCCTCTTTGGAATGAGTTGCTCAATGTACTGTTCTGTTGTCCGTTTCAAAAAGGGTGAGCTTTTGGGCACAAGGACTGTGAACAGAAGGTGGAATGATGAGGATGTGGACTTGACATTACAGAAAAATGAGGGATGATGGAATTATGGTGGCAAGCCCTCCAGTCCTGGTCTAAAGATGGTTGTGCTTCTGAATGGTAGC